CTTATTGTGCATTTCTCTGTCTGTTGTGCTCTTTGTCCTTGGGCATCACTATCATATATAAAAGGTTGCTTGTGTGTTGCCAGGCAATGCTGTTGCATCAAAAGACAATGATGGACTTGGCTATTTGTGATGACTAAGCTTTTGTCCCATGGTCCTAAGTGCTCATCCTAGTGCCCTGACTAAGCATAAATAGGAGTTTTCTGGGGAACAAATGGAAAAATCATAACAGCAAGCTTTGCAACAGAGGCATAAGTGTTGAAGTAGTCAATGCTGGGTACTTGTGAGAATCCTTGTGCTATCAAGCCAGCTTTGAACTTGACTATGCCTCCCTCAGCATTCTTCTTGATATTACAGACCCACCTACTTCACACCCACAACATTTGCTTCAGCTGGTTTGTCAACAATTTCTCAACTCCCTGCAGTCTTCAATGTTGCAAGCTCTTCCTATATTGCACCGTCCCACAAAGGCCAATCAGGCTGACACTTCACTTCAGGTAGACTGCATGGCTCTAAGGCTTCTGCATCAGCTGTTGAAATGGCCATAGCATACTCCTCAAGGAAGTCAGCATCCTCCAGTATCATCAACCAATCTGCCTCTCTCTCTCCCTCAAACTTGAGAGCTTCATTGTTTTCATTGACAACCAGTAACTGAACACCAACAGGTACCACAGAATTGCTTGAATGTACTGATACACCACTTTTGCCAGATATGAGGTCCAGCACTCACTAGCTAGGCTTTCAAGTGTGTCTAGAATGGCTTTCTTCAACTATAGGTTAGACTGTAGGCTAGGCTTTGGAGGTAGGTGACATCTGTGATGGCTTTGCAGCAGGTGGGTTGGACTGAGTTTTTGGCATTGATGGAATATCATGTAGCTCAATGTCTTTCTCTCCTTCAAGATTGTTGGCAGCAATATGAGTTGTGTCAAAATAGACATTTTGCTTGATAGACACTGTCTTGCTCTCTGTCCAGTAGACACAGGATCCATTGCTTGTTTCATTGAATCTAATTCACTGACTCTCACATATGTGGCCATCCAGCTTCATTGTTATGATTTTTCCTATTTTCTTTTCCTTTTTCCTTGATTTATTCAGGATTGACCTCTATTTCTGCTTAGTCAGGGCATCTAGACCTGGCACTTAGGATCATGGAAATGCTTAGTCATCAGCACCACCCTGATTCTGGTTGCTGCTGTGAAGTTGTGCAACAGCATAATGACAGAGAAGTCTCTCTTATCTTTGCACAGCAGTAACAGCAGTAACAGCATAATACTTTTTGTAGATATCTTAACAATACTGGACAATACACTGTACAAGTGCAGCAAGGACAATTAGATAGTAATATTCTTAGAATGATAAGGATTTAGTATTTAAGTAGCATAGCTCTCGCTGTAGTAACCCCAGCTTTGAGCTAAAGTTTATTCTCCACTATCTTATCTTGAGTGACTTGTAACTGCCTTGACTACATAATGCTGATCACACATCAGTGGACTCTGATAGTATAATCTGAAGTGCAAGGTTCTATCAGTTTATCACATGTTATTGGTCATGTGGAATTTGAGCTTGGCATTCATAGTCTTAGCCTCAAGGTGTATCCAGCATTTCTCTCTCTATTTCTGCAACCCTTTTAGATCTGACTTCTTTCCTGTGACAGCCTCATAAGAAGTCATCCTATCTAGAGCCTTCATCAATGTTCTGTTGAGAACCCAAACAGCATGGCAAACAGCCTCAGCCTATAGGAAGTGAGGTAAGCCACTTGAATACAGCATAGCTCTAACCTTTTCAAGAGCTGTGCAATTATACCTTTTAGCCACCCCATTGTGCTGTGGCATATCATGCACAGTCATCTTCCTTGCTGTGCCAGCCATTTTCAGATGCAAGACAAATGCTTTATCAAAATATTCATCTCTATAGTCTGAATGGAGGATTTTTACAGGACAATCATGCTGGATGCAGATGCAAGCTTCATAGGCCTTGTATGCCATGAAAGCTTCACTCTTATGGCATAAGAATTCAAGGTAAGCCAAATGAGTGCTGTGATCAATGAAGAAGATGAAGTAATAGTGTTTACATAGGGATTCCACAGGTGCAGATCCCTATAAATCAGAGTGAATTTCATCTCCAATATCAGTTGCACATTCTCCCCCTTGAGCCTTAGACACTGGCTTTCATGTAGCCTTTGTTAAGCCCAGGCTCCACATGACTATCAACACATGATAAACAGTTCAGAACCTCACACTTCGGGTTAGACTGACTGAGTTCACTTGAGTCAATAGATGTGTGGTCAAGGTGTTTGCAAGTTGCTCAAGATAGAATGGTAGAAAATAAACTTTAGCTCGAAGCTGAGGTATTACAGCGAGAGCTATGCTACTTAAATACTGTTCTGTTATCTGGCTATTAATAACTGTTCACAAAAGATATTGTCTGTTGTAGAGGCTGTTACCCCTGCTGTTGCCAGGCTCTCTACAAAAGCTGTTGTCTTGCTGTTGTGCTGTTACTGCTGCACCGCAGTTGTAGGATGAAAGGAGTATTGTCTCTCCCTTCACAGCACACAGCAATGATAAGACAATGACTGGTTGGGTTGCTGAGCTAAGCGTTCCCACGGTCCTAGGCACTGGCTTAAGCACTCTGACTAAGCAAAGATAGGGGTTGTTTCCAAGGAAAAAGAAAAGAAAAGCAGAAAAATCGTAACAGCCTTAGCATAGACACATAACTCACAGAACTGTGGTTCTTGAGATGATTTGTTGAGCTTTACTCCAGTCATAAAGCCCTTTTTGATCAGATGATAAGCAACTTCAGATGAAATGTGACCATATGGCAGTGCAATTGGTCTAGAGTAAGCACCTTCTCAGCTGCCCCAGCCAAATCTCCCTTATGATGAGCCCAATATAGGCCACCATCATCTTTTGGGACAACTCTAACTACCTTTCTATCTGGTGCATGGATGGTGCATTTTATGTGACCAAAAATCAACTCAAAACCAAGATCATCAAGTCAGCCAACTGAAATGAGTGTATATCCAACTTCAGGAGAGTACATGACCTCAGTGAGTCACAGGTTGCTTGCATTTGCATCATTTGGCACATTAATGCTTATCACACTCTTTCCAGCTGCAGAGAATTTTTGAATGTTTGCAGCATGGAATGCCTTGAGCAGAACAGACTGGAACAAGTTGAAATTGTCATGGTAAGGGGAAATATGGTGTGTACAGCCAGAGTCATAGAGTTCAGTATGAATTCAAACATTGGGTGAGTTTACAGTGTTGGTAATGGCTGCAACTGACTCTTCAGAAGCAGATACATCCTCCAAAGTCAGCATGCCAGACATGGCATCCAATTGCTTGTCAACAAAGGAGTTTACATCACTCCAGTCAATGTCTGAGGACAACACACTGCTCAGCTCATCTCATGACTCACCACCAACCTCTGAAAAAAGGTCAGCACCATCATCTTCATCCTCTGAGTCCTCTGACAAGCCCTCAACTTCAGACTCATCTGACTCAGAAACTGCAGCCAGTGATGGCATATCACTAGCATCATCAACCCTGAATGCACTGCTGGCTTCTCAGTCTGAACCTGATGATTTCTCAGCCACATTGGCTATTTCACCCTTCAATCCAGAAGCCTTGCTGTCATTATCTGATGACTTCTTCTTAGGGCACTTGTTTTTGAAGTGTCCTTCTTTTCCACATTCTCAGCACAACTTCTTGCTGGGTTTCTTGCCCTTCTTATTGTCACCTGAGCTTGATGAAACAGACATGGCTTCATCTTGCTCCAAGTCCTTTCCCTTTCCAGACTGCCAGCTATGCTTGGCTTGCTTGCACTCCAGCCAGTCATATTCCTAAGAAATGGAATGGATCAGGTTCCCAAGTTTGACTTCCTTGTTGGGACTGAAAAGCTTTGCCACCATATGGAGAGTCAATGCATGCTTGGCAAGATAGGGGAGGATGGAGGTGAGAATTGTTGAGTGGTAATCCTTTTCCTTGATGATGACACTGATGGAAGCTAATGACTCCTGTTTCATTGACAGACTGTCAAGAAACTTGTGAACATTGCCTTTGGCTGGGCAATGTGACTCTATAAACTGCTGCTGAAGGTCAGTTTGTGCATAGCTGCTCTTATTGGTAAACTCTTTTTTGATCTTTGACCAGGCTTCAGCAACTGTGGAGAGACACTGAATCTTCATAGCAACTGAGTCAGGGGTCTTCAAGAGCAGGAGGTTCTTGGCTATAGCCTCATCTTTCTTCCATTTATCTAGCTCAGCCATGAGAGCTGTTGTGGGTGCAGTGAGAGAGTGTTTGGGCTTTGATCCATTGAAGTGGTTCCATTTCTCTTTGGCCTGAATGCCAGTGGAAAAGCAGAGGTAGAAGATAGACCAGTTGTCACCAGACATGTTAAGTGTGGGATGTTTGATGGTAGGCCTGTAGTCAAGGCAGCAATGGCAGAAGTCATTTGAGTATGAAGGATGGGATAGAGTAATTCTTGGGGCCATATAACCTCTAAGAAAGTGATGCATGTTTGTAGCACCTAATAGAGTACACTGTTAGCTATAGTGTAGACTATAGGATACCAATCAGTAACATAAACGAAGTAACATAAGTAGATACTCACCCTCACACAGTGTAGCAATGAGCAGAAACACGGTGAGGGTGCTTGACAGACCACATTCAATATATATTATCCATCTCTACATAAAGGGGTATTGAGCTCGGCCAGCAGGATATGACAGAGCTCCTGCTTGCTAATCCAACACCATTTTCACCTTGTGCATGCACAGATCCTCTTCAATGTAATGCCAGTGCTGCCGGGGCCCAGGCTAGCAGCTTTCTTTAGGGACAAACTTGACACTTGTCACCCTCCTACCCTGGGCACTTACTTTGTATTTGCATGACAACGTGTACGATTAAAGTTTAGATCCTCGGTTCCAAACTTGCCACTCTAGGAACAACATTGTCCTCAAATAACGAACTTCCCGAGTACTGATCCCTTCCTTTTCTCCTTACTATGACTTACAACACCGCCTCGTTGAATCATTCTCATTTCTCGGTGGGGCACACAACCTCGCTGCATACCGGTAGTTCTACGCACGCCAAATTCGATGACCTCGTCTTGCTAGCTGCAACAGCATGTAACACGCCTCGTCTATCGAAATGAGATGGTTGGAATAGATTTATCCGACCGTGTCAACCCATATCCGCCATTGACGGCCTGGTATAAGAGGGACTCGGATTTGTCGACGTAAGTGGACTTTTCTCGCAATGGCATCCGACTAAATCTGGCGATTAGGATGTATGCTGGACACTCGTCAAAGAGAATGAAAGGGGGTTGGAGTATACTTCCTCCTACTAGTACTAGGTGACAGTGGTTCCAGGATACTTTGTCCGTGAGCCATGTCTGATTCCGTTCTTAGCAGCTCCATCGACTTGGACGACGACAATAACAAAGATGATGAGCATATGTCAGATCATGAATGGTACGTTTGTCTCATTTCCTCCCACCCCGATGCGAACGATGATGAATTAGAGATGCACACCCGAGCGGAAGCCTGATCGACTTCGCAGAGCTGAGAAAGACGTTTTTACGGCGTCTTGTCCAGCCAGCTCAATTCCCAGGAGCAAAGGTGCGCAAGATGGACGAGGAGCACCTCCAATTCTTCAACGGGATCCTTGCGTCGACGTCGAATCCATCACCAAACAACACGTGGTGTGTAACAAGTGCCGGACTCCCGTCAAATTGGACAGCCGGGGGAATGCTGCATACGATCGCAGCACGTGGTTGGGGCATAAGAGGAGATGCATGAAAATGTACAAGGCCTGGCTCGAAGAGAATGGGTATGAGGACCAGAGCTGGATAGAGGCGGCGGAAAGACGTAGGGATGCGAGGTTGGGGATGAGCGTTACTGCGTAGGAATACTGTATATTTTTAACTTGTTCACAACCTATGGCTTGTTTGTAGTGCAGAGTAATTTGAGCTAGTGGGCCAGAATAATTGACTGGGTCGTGACTCGTGAGTCTTGCCTGAGCAATTAGATAAGTAGAACTCAACCATGGTAATAACTCTGGAATTTTCAGAACTGTACTGTCGAAGAACCAAGAGTACGGCAGCAATCAGGGTAGAACTGAATAGCTGAAAGAAAAAATGGCAGCAAAGGCGGTTAGAAGAATAACAAATCCATCTTGTGAGACGGGAAGCAGTACGTTTGAAGTATGGACTTATATTTCTAATTCTAATGAAGATACGCGTCGTGCAGGGCCATCGTCGTGTCAACGAGGGCGTCGTTGGCCTTCAGCAAGGCTGATGGTGGCTGTACAATCATCGGGGCAGGCCAACGCCAAACATCCACAATCTTTTCAACCAATCACCATCATGACGGTTGCCTTTGGTATGTCCGTATTTTCTCTTCTTCAACTCACAAGCATTGCCACCCTACGACCTCTCTCCAATCGATGTTCTTGTCGTCGCTGCGCTCTCTAGCCTACCGACAGTCTTGAGCTGAGCGGTGAGCCTGGCTGTTCATGCTGCTCGGGATGTGGAAAAGGTATAAGACTGGCGGTCGAGTGAGATAGTGAGACAGGATTTTCTTGCCCATTGATGGCCAGACTCTTCGTAGCTACGTATGAAATACCCTTCGAAGGTATGACTGTTCTTCAAGTATGCTGAGCCATACCCTGAGAAATCTTATTAGGATTGCCCTTTGACGCTCTATGCGTACGGATAGCTAGGACTGCTCTTTGATACTCTGCAAAGAAAGCTAGATACGGTGGTTTCAAAAGTCGAACCTGGACTTGGTGCACTCGTCATTCAAAGATATCCTTCAGTTTACTGACATCTGTGCAGCGTTCATCTAGTAATAGCACTGATTAAATAACATAGTCGACTTCAAAGTCTTCTTCAATGCTATCCAAATGCCGCCAACGTACTGATGTGAGGTATGCATATGTACCTTTCTGTTGGTAATGCTTGGTTATTTACGAAGGCTAACATAGGCGGCCTTGAGCTTCTCTCGACTGTAATGGACCCATGTCTATTGAAGAATGCACGAAAGAATGTTTGTCCTTATCTGGCAGATGCACATACAACGAAAAATTTTCCGTACAGCGGGGGGACGATGTTCGCTCATGTGTTGGTGCGTTACTTCACAGGCATAACTATGTCATTCTGAAGATGTATCTAGTACAGTATTGTGTTCCCCACGGAACGCTCCAGAGCCATAGCAAATGATGCTGGTACTCGAGTTTTACACAGTAGCCAGGCTGCATTTTTGACACTGGTGGCGGTATGTGATGACGTATGCCATTGCGTTCTTCAACATCTAGGGTTTCTCATATCGAGAAGCCGTAGTTGTTAGTCTCACTAGTTTCTAAATGTTCGTGCTTTGCGCTTCTCGCTCTCCTGCAAGGGTCGCTCTTGCCGTATGTATCATTCGATACTCGGTCAGCGGGTCTGACTTGTTCTTATTATTGTAAATGCCTAAATGACCTTTGTTCCGAAGCAATTTCACCTTGGAACAACTCATGAGAGTGTGTTTTCACCGGGGCTCACGTTAGCCTGATAAACAAGCCCGCTAACAAGGGCATAACAAAAGTCAAAGTTCACATTCACTGATTCTCCACTCTGAGGGTCGGTTACCGTGCGCTGTCATCTGGTGCTCGTACAACTACGTAATGCATTACATTTAACGGTATGCTCTGCTTTCTCAAAACGGCAAAATGCAGGTGCTCATTTACTCAGGTGCAGGTTGTCATGGACCGGTGCCCTGTACTTTTTGGGCTCACTCGCGCCAGTAGCAGAATCCTGGCATGATATTTGTTTCACAATGTCTGCTGGTATTTTCGCCACTCTGGTATGTCCGCGGATGTCACAGACACTCAACATTGTTTCTCACTTGTCACGGCCAGTACTATCGTTCAAACAAGGGTTCGCTCTGTTTCATATACTGGAGTATGTTCCAAAATCTGCAAAGTTGATGATCTGATCTTGTTTATGCTGGGCAGCAGTAAACATCGGTCGGAGACATTCTAGGAACATAACATAATCTACATCAGCTGTGTAGTCATCGGCGGATCATGTTCGCTGTAGTGGAAGTCCGTTAGTACTGGGAGGTACCTCATCGCCTCTGTATAGGGTTCTGAAGGTTGATTTACGAAGAATTGTAGAGGTCCTCGACCGCCATTGTATACTACATAATCATAACTATGTTTGTCTAAAAGCTTATCGCCATCAATTTTCAGTTTCATTGCAACGTATCGGACCCGTAACAAGTGTCTAAGCTCGAATTTGCTAATTCTCCCGCAGGAGGGTTGTTTACCATGCACTATCATTCTAGCGTTCCTACGAGTATCTGTTGCGTTTTGCGATATACTCTGCTTTCTCACACCAACGAAATATAGGAGCTTATCACTCCAGTGCAGATTGCCATAGGTCATTGCCCTGTATACTTTTCAGGTCCTCCTTCAGACAGTGCTAGGCTTCCTTTCACCATTCTATATCTTGATTCTAGCAAGGTGAGTCTGGTATGTCTGCAGATGTAATGGATATTCAATGGTGTTTCTTATTTTTCATGGCCAGCTCCATTATTCAAACAAGGGTTTGCTTCTGCTTCATGCACCAATGAGACCTAGTGTAAGACTGCTGACATGCCCTGAACATGTCCATGCATGTAATTTTGAAAAATACAGTACTACATGCTAAGTACAAAAGTACTACTAAGCATGTAAAGCAAAATAGAGCTAGAGCACAATAAAAGAAAGGCTAGCCATGATGGGCTTGAGCAACAATTGGTGGAGTACATGACTTAGCTTCAGGATGATACCAAAGGGTCACACTGTGCAGGAAGTCTCAGTACTTGACACTGAATGCACTGACAATAGCTCAGAGCTCATGCACTAAGAATAGAAATCATGTGGAACTACAGATATAACATGCATGTGAGGAACCATGAGACATGCATATATAATGTTATAACTTTTCCTTTTTCCCTTACTGATTAACCCCTATTTATGCTTAGTGTTACATGCATGCCACCAGCCTCCATGTCACCTCAACCAACCATGGATTCAATCACAGAAACCCACCAGACTCCAGCCACTCCCCATTACCTATTAATTTCATTTTCACCATTATTATTTCACATCTGTATTTCACATTGTAATATCTAGACCCTGAACTTGGTAGTGAATACTGATATCAGAACCCAATGGAACCCGACTCAGAATTAGCTACCATTAGTATATAAAGCCATGTATAACTATTGTAACTACTCAGTTCAAATATCAACTTGGATAGCCATCTACACTTCATACTCACTTCAACTCCTTCTTCATCTGTCAGATTCTGCTCCAAAGGATACTCCTCTTCACTTCCCCAACAGAACTCTGTTCCATCCATCCAAATCCTTGGGCCTCAACTCAAGGGTGACATTGCCAATAGCTTTGTTGATGCCCATGCACTCTGCCAGTCTCCACACATGCACTCAAACCCACTTGATTGGCACATTCCTAACACTTAGTCAGAGCATCTACACCAGTGCTTAGGACCATGAGACAGGCTTAGTCACTATAATAGGCCAAGTCTGTCATTGTCCTCTGATGCAATGATGACCCTCAACAATGAACAACACTCTTTTGTAGACAGTAACAATGCTCAAGGATAATGGGGACTATAGCATAGAAACTCACAATTAGTAGGGATATATTTAACTCAGACTCAAACAATATATAAGTAGCATAGCTCTCACTATATATCCCCAGCTTCAAGCTAAAGTTTATTCTCTTACCATTCTATCTTGAGCCAATCTGTAATGGCCTTGGAACACAATGCCATATAAACACATATAGTGAACTTAGATGTGACTGTACAAACTCGATACAGCATCTATTTATCATGTGTTTTAGTCACATGTCATTTGGGCTTAACACATAACACATGCATGCATGACCCATGTGTGGAACTTCATGCAGTACTGATGGATGATGCATAACCATGAGATGGATTAATTGATGCACTTTAGGCCAGAAATGACACATATTGTGAGTAATACAGAATATCCAGGCACTCAGCTAGAGAACAGAACAATTGTAGCTGACTCTGGACATGAGAGATAACTCTGGTGACCTGAAACAGGTCCTGGGAGTGGCAGAATAATTTTAAGGAGATAAGAAAGTAAAGAGCCCTGTGGCTAGGCCATAAACAGAGCTAACTGATGTCAGGTTACATAGAAACAGAAGGCACAGTCCTGACCTAGAGCAGAATATGCATGTCAAACAGCAACATGTGTGCAAATGACTCATGAGGGACTCCATTCTGGAGTCCCATGCATTAAAACTATTATATTAGGTGTCTCTTAGTAAGTACAGTAGTAGCCTATTTAAATACCCCATTGTAAGAGTAGTAGATGAGTTTCTGGCCCCCTACAGTTGCAGTATATTGAGCATGAAGGCCTTGCACTCCAGCTCTGGATTTGTGTTTGTAACTTTGGGTAAGAGAATAGACCAATTATTGAAATCATTAAGAGAGATTTGAGAACTGTGTGAGGCACAAAAGCTTGTGAGGGACTCTAGTTCAATTTAATAAGAGATTTTGAATTGTGCTCTAGCCTGAGAATGAGAGAGCAGTGTCTGAAGGGCACTATCTTGAGTTTTTGAGGTGTTTGTGATGTGAGGCACTACAGGTGACAGAGGTTCAAACCCTTTGGCCTGTGAATAGGGTTATTTGTGTTATTTCCACAGATTAGCAGAGGTTCAAACTCTTTGGATCTGTGGACAGGGTTCTCCAATGGCTCTGGTGGAGATTGGTGATCTTAGTAGGCTCATTTATATATTACCTGTCACTCAGACTAACAATTGATTCCATAGAATCTCAAGCTCTTGCAGAGCCAGCCTGTACTGAAAGCCACTGTAAAGTAGACA